TTAAAACATTCAGTGTTCCCATGCTCTGTTCGAACAACTGCTTCTTGGTCTAGGTACAGATTTCTCAGAAGTACAATTAAGTGTTCTGGAATACTCTAAAAAATTAACCCATCTCAAATGTCACCAAAGCCTATTCAGCATGCTAGGAATATGCAAGTCTCCGCTGACAGGTGGGTGGTGGCCATGCGTGAGGTACCCTGGCCGAGAATTGAACCCTGGTCTCCCACATGGATGAGAACCCTTACACTGAACCATCCCTTTGAATTACATGGAATCCTGTACAAATCTTATCATTAAACCTTTTACTGTTGAGTAGATCTGACTCTCAGCAACCCTATAGGACGGGGTAGAACTGTCCTGTAAGGCTTCCAAGGCTGTTCTTTTTACGGAAACAGATGGCCACATCTTTCTCCTGTGGAGTAGATGGTGGATTTTTGGCTGCAGAGTGCTTAACCACTGTGCCACCAGAGCACCTTAATCAGACATAATGCAATCTAATGTAACGTAATAAGTCCGTTGAGATCCATTCCAGTGTAGGGTGGGTCCTAGACCTAATCCCTTCTGGGTTATGGAAAGAGCAGTGGAGACCCAAAGGGGGGAAAGACACTGACTTCACACCATGGGTTGTCTGAAAAGGAACCAATCTTTCTTGGAAGAAGTACAGTCAGAGTGTTCTCTAGAAGACAGGATGGTTAAGACTTTTTGTCTCTCAGACTTTGGACATATTATCAGGAAGGAATAGTCACTGGAGAAGTACATCATGCTTGGTAAAGTCGAGGGTCATCGACAAAGTAAAGGGGAGACCCTCAAGAGTGGCAGCAACACTGTGCTCAAACAGCAATAATTGTGAGGCTGGCACAGGACCGGGTATGTAGAGAGGGTCGCTGTGAGTCAGAACTGACTCCATGGCCCCCAACAACAACAACATACACACACGCACACTTGGAACGTCCTAAGTACATGTCATGGGTTACAGGGCTGGTCAATGAGCCCTCTGAAGCCAGGGTTCCAGATGCTCCCAGGTCTCCCAAACCCACCACCCTTCCTTCCTGACTCCCACCAGACCCTGAAGAACCGGTGGCTACAGCAATACAGCCATAACTCGGCTGACCCAGGCATTCTCGTGCTCCTGGCTTGTGGCACCATCTCCAGCACGTGCGGCCAGATTGCCAGCTACCCCCTGGCCTTGATCCGGACTCGCATGCAGGCGCAAGGTGAGACTGGGCCATGGGGAGGGTCCCATGACTTGAGTCGTGCCTCCTCTTCCCAGCTGTCCCAGGGCCCAGTTTACCCATTTGCACCATTGTTGCGGAAATCCTTTATACCCCTGCAGAGCGGAGGATCAGATAGGGAAGCAGGTGCAGTGGGCTGGGAGACTAGGTCTGGGATTCCTGGCTGGTAACTTGAGCTGCTCATTTGCCAGGCTGCCTTATAGTGTGAGGGAGGCTGGGAGCCCAGGGGCAGAGTCAGGATGGTTAATTGTTTAGCTCCCTTTTCTCTTTTCCTTTTTTCCCTCCCTTCCCTCTCTCTTTTCTCGGAATTGGGTTTGAGAATTCCCTAGGGACATGTATCCGCTGAGTTGAATACTTTTCACTGGGGACGTATCCTTGCCTGAGAAAAACGTGGTCCAGCCTGGCAGAGCTCACAGGCTGAAGGGGAAGGAGGAAGCTAACTAAAAAAGTTGCAAGATGAAATTTGGGTTAAGGGGTGAATGCAAAGAAGAGAAGGGGGCCTGGCTA